ATGGACCAGGAACCTGTGCTGGGGTCCCAGCAGTTCCGGCGATCAACTCTGTGCCTCCCAACCCTTAGTTTCTCTGTGCCTTGGTGTCTTCATCTGTAAAATGGAGATAATGAGAGTCCCTACCTTACAAAGTTCTCATGAGCAGGACATGAATTCGAAGAAGTGAAACTCACAAAACAGACCCAGGTCCAGAGTAAGTAACGAGAAAGTGTCGGTTGCGATTATTTTTGTCATCGTTGTTAATACTATTATTAACATTTTTGTTTGGAACACAGAGATGTCATCTGAGACTATGACTGTAAGGATGGGAGGGGCTTTTCCTAGTGTATAGGCAGAGATTCAGGCCCCCGTGGAGGTCTAACCTCCCAGACCCCCTCCTCCCACCCCACTGCTCTCGCCTCTCCTCCAGCACATGCACAGACCATACTGTTAGGAAGAATTCCTTTGAAAGAGAGGTTCCTTTTCTCTCTGCAACCTTGACTGAAGGAGCAGCCACACACTCTAAAGTGGTCCCCTGCTCCTCTTCTCCATTTCTTACCTACTTTCTGGAGCAGGAAGAGGAAAGAAAAGAACAAGACAGGTCTGTTGTGTGAGAGGCAGGTGTGGGGAAAGAGACTCCTTAGCTGCATGCCATCCTTTATTCCAGGCCAGCCCAGGGCAGAGAACAGACTCAAAGCAGGGTAAGGGATGACTTCTAGGGCAGCCACCTGCCTCCTGGGGGTGCCAGGTCTGACCGGGAAGCAGGCTTGTAGGCATTGGCTGTGGCACCTCAAGGCTTGTCAGCTGACTCTGTTCGGACAGTTATTCCCAAAATAACTCTCCTCCAGTTCCATCATCTGTGGGAACTCGCAGGCACGTGGGGCAGGGGTTGGACCATCGCTATAGAGTCATAGGAGTAGCTGCTCAGGTAAGACTGGAGCAGGGGATTCCAAGATGGAAAGATGGGAAAGCTGCTGCTCGGGAAACTTCTCAGCAAAGCGACTGGCTCAAAAATTGCCAGTGCTCACTTATCTTTCGTTCTTTCTTTCCTTTCTTCTTTTCTCTCTTGCTCTCTTTCTTTCTCTCTTTACTTTTCTTTCTTTCTTTCTTTTTGCCAGTATCGCATTTACTCTTCTGACATTAAATAAATGAGTCAAGTGCCCACGATGAGCTAGAGACTGTGCCTGGGGTTTAGAGCGCAGGAAGCAGGGGAAGAGAAGCCGGACGAACATGGTTACAGCCTGCCAGGGGAGGATCATAACACAACAGGGAGCGTCAGAAAGAAGCAAGCACAAAGAGCTGAGAATCACAGTAACACGGTCATTTGCATGGGGGTGTCAGGAAAGCTAATCAGAAGGGCTGGTATTTAGTTAGGTCCAGAAGAAAGAGTAGGAGTTGGCCATGCTGAGAAAAGGGCCAGTGGAAGTAACCTGCTGGTGTGTGATTACAAATGCCAAGCCTGGAATGAAGTGGTCTAGGGTTTGAACATCAGCTCAGCCATTTATCAGACTGTAAAGCCTGAATCAAGTTCTTTTCTCTGAGCCTTAACTTTCTCATCCATAAAATGGGAATCAATCCACTCATCTTGTCAAGAGAGTCAAGTGACATGATCGCTGTAAGGCTCTCGGCGTGGTACTAGCCCAAAGCACCCACAGGTAGAGGTAACTATGGTTGTTCTTTAGTCTGCTTCTTTTTGTCCTGCATTGTTGTGAAGCTGGAAAAGTGGCCCCCTGAGAAACCCCAGCTTCCGGAGAGGCCCAGTGTTCCAGGAGGCTTTGCATGGATCTTTGGCAGCCCTCTGGTCAGGCAGAACATGTTGGCACGGTGGAATGTGCTAGCACAGTAGAATTTTCTTGCCTCTCAGCTTATAAGATATACAGATAGGTTTCCTCCGATTCTCTCTAATTCCTTCTGGCTCCAGGGCTTTTCAGTGTGAGTCATACCCAGTGTGTAACGGGCAAATCCCACTGAGGAGGAACTGAAATGCCAGCCATCTTCCCCTTCCCCTCTCTCAGCCTCCTGCCCACCAAGGGTCCATACCTTCCTCACAGGGCAGAGCCTTCCCTGCCCCAGCCACACCTTCCTCATTTTCTGTCTCCCTGACCCTCTTTGAAAAAAGAGTAAGTAGGAGGAGAAGGGGAATTCCAGTTTAGTTTAAACAGAACTCAGGGGGGGAAATGACATTTGTTTTCACAAGGAGGAAATCAAGCTTTTTCAATTACCATAAAAATTGTGTTAATTTGGCTCAGCAACCCCCTCATATGCTCGAACCATAATGCCCTGAGGTGTGGAACTTCCCAGGATGAGGTTCCTGGCTGCCTCTGTAGGTAGCAGCTGCTCTGGGGGTCAGAGCAGGCTCAGCCCACAAGACCTCCTAGGCTCAGGGCCTGATAGAGATCGACCTCCAGGGGACCCTGGCTCCCTTGGCTGGCACCCGATGAGAAGAGCCAGTGGCTGGCAGAATAATTAAGATGTCCTGAATATTTAAGCAGAGCCTATTTTACCCCACACCTTTTAGCCTCATATCAAGCAGTACCAACCCTCAGAAGTGCCCCTTTGTTCAGCTGCCCTCAGGAGCCCATCAGGGGGAAATCACCTGCTAATCCCAGCTCTGGTGATGGAGGCTGCCCTCTGTGAACCAGGAAGGATGGCCTGGAGAGCCCCATTGGAGGGCTCGGGTTACATCCAGAGCTAGACAGACAGCCACCAGCCACTGAGAGGGGCAGCGGGTCACTCCATCACTTACCATGTTTTGAAAAAGAGGAGCACTTTAGTTGGGGAACTGCCGGATTTATCTTTAAGAAGAGGCGACGTATAAATATATCCAGTAAATAGCATAATTGGAGGCGATCCAACTGCCTAGGGTTAGGAAAGAAACTTTGAAAAGGTCAAACCTACCGTTTCCTGTATTAAACTCTGCCGGAGCAAGAAAGAAGAGTGTTACAGAGAGATCAACTGTAGTCTGTCTCTTCTCCCGGTTTTTGTGGGGGTTTTTTGTTTGTTTTTTGTATTTTTTTGAAGGGGCAAATTAAATGTAAAGGTCAGTTTTTAAATGGCTCCTAATTATAACCACTGTATCTCTGACTCTCGACAGACCCCCGTCACCTTATCTTGCAGTCATAATCCTCACGTTACAAGCTCTTAAAAGAGCTTTTAAGAGGCTTCAGTGAACTGAATTGTTCTCATTTCAGTACAGCTGGAGGCCGTGAAGCCAAGTGCCGCCTTTCCAAGCAGGAGTGGATGTTTTCCACGAGGGGATCTGACCTTGAACTTTCCCTACTTGATCAGATCTGCACATCTGAGCATTCCATACCATAATTCTGTCTTTACCATGGTATAAAGGGGAAGAAAATTAACCTGATAATTATCTGAATCTGGCTCTGAAGGGTTCCGCGTACAAGGAGGTGGGCATGTGAGCATCCACATGTGTGGCAGTTCTGAAATGGTGGAACGTGGTCAGTCCATGCGGACACATCAGGCTCTGGTCTTCGCCTCAGTGTTAGTTAGCAGTGACCTCTTTGGCTCTCTTCTAGACATTCTCACCAGCAGAGAGAGCCTTCTTTCACAGAGTTAATAACTAGACTGATTTGCTTCTTAGCACTGCTCTAATTCCCTTGGGGGAAGCACTAATGGGAACAATATACAAAAGCGGTTCCTAAGAGAGGGAAAGAAAGAAAAGGAGAAATGACAAATAACCTACAAATCTCCAGATAACCTATAAATCTCCAAAAATGTGGGGGAGATCCATCACCCTTGAGATCCAGTACACGACAGGTGGGCACTGGTCCAGGACGGTATATTTTGGATAAGACTTTCACTTGGTGTGCATGGCACCTCAGTTAATCCTTCCTAAAGTCATGGGGGCGGGGGGGGCAGCTCTTCCTCCTCGGTTGCCGCAGGTGATTGGTGTGAGAGTCAGCGTTACGTAAGTAACCCACACCACACACACAGCTAATGATGGGAGCTACACATGGGTCCACATATCCGGACTCCAGACCCCTGATGCTCTTTCCAGTGTGGCTGAGTCCCATCCACTCGCTGAAGTAGTAACACAGTTTCCCAGTAGCCTGGGAGAGCACATGGAGTCCCTGACACCAGCCTTAGTGCCAAGAAGGTCATTCCCACCATTAGGGGACAAGAGCCCAATTGATTCTTTGCGTTTCTCAGGTGAAATATAGCTGAAGTATATACATTATTAGCCCAAAACTCACACAAAAAAGAGTGTTGTGCTTCTAAGTGGTAATCTTTGGAAGCCGTATGGTTATTCTTACAAGGCTACGTGCTCGAAGGGTTTTCAACTGCCCGTTAATAGTTAGTTGCCTTTGGAGCCAGATTTCAGATTGCACAATAAAACATTCATGTTACTTTATAATTACACCTGGTTATTTCCATACACAGAAAATAGTGTTACCTCTTAGAGCAGCCCTTGGTTGTACAGCAAGCTTGACTTTACTCTCTACTAAAGCAAACTCACCTCTCAAGGGTTGAAACTCAACACACTCCCCAAAAAGGAGTTAAAAAAAAATGTTTTGATTTGATGGCATCATTAAAATGAGTGCATCTCCTACCAGGATGATCCTTTTGAAGTGGACAATACTGATACAGCTGTGCGGTTCTGGTTTATTTAAAAACCAGCTGTAGTGCTTTGCAGTGACCCTTGAATAAAACATCCTAAGCCTCTCAAGATCTCACGAGTGGTAGAAAGAGGAGCCAGAGCCTATAACAGAAGAAAATAAGATGTCGGGAGATTTGAAATCCCCTACTCCTGCCACCAGCAGCGGCAGCAGCAACAGATTGCTGTCTCTCTTAGAACAATAAATATTGCTGGAGGCTGTTTCCTGAACTCCAGGCAGACCAAAGGTCTTAATAATTTTGGCCATTTACCCAAACTCTTAGAGGCTGAGAAGAGTATTGGTAACAGAATGAAGAGCCTGGTTTGTTCTAGCTCTGACTTGTGGGTAGACTGATCGGCAGTGAATGCCCTTCCCTCATCTTCTCCCTGTGCCTTTCCTCCTCTGCAGGCAGCATCGCCGCCATTACGGTGACAGTCATTGCCGTGGTGTTGTTGGTGTTCGGAGTGGCAGCGTATCTGAAGATCAGGTGAGATGCACCTTACTCTTCCTTATGGGGAAAAGATTCCATTTTTCAGGCTCCAGGCCGAGAGCTGGTTTGCCAAGTGCCGGTGTCCTGATAAGTATGTTAGCTCTTGGAAACGCTGGTAGGGATGGAACGAGGGCCATGGTAGTGTGCACTGGACGGGAACCCACAGTGCGGTATTTGAACCTTGGCTGCGCCGAAGAAGTATACAGCACGATGGTGAAGAAACATACAGTCAGGAGATGGAGGCCTTGGCCCCCTGCCCGTGAGGCCCCTCCTCACCCTGAGAAAGCCACATGCCTCCCGAACCTCAGGTTCTTCATCTGGGAAATGGGGTAGAGGCGGGAGCTCAGTGGGTTACAAATACCGATGTTTGAAATACCACTGTGGATGTGTGTCTAGTCTATAAGGAGGTTTTCACTGATGCTAAAGCAAAATGTTGAAAATACAAAAGGAAAGTGTAGTGTCTTCAGGGCACCTGGGTGGCTCAGTTGGTTAAGCGACTGCCTTCAGCTCAGGTACTGGCATGAAGCAAGTAACCTGCTTCTCCCTCTCCCTCTGCTTCTCCCCTCTGCTTGTGCTCTCTTTCTCTGTTTCTCAAATTAAAAAATCTTGAAAGGAAGGAAGAAAGAAAGGAAGGAAGGAGTAGTGTTTTCTAAATTAGATTTTTTCTGCCCTGAGATTATGTCCTTATATTTTTGGCTTCAAAATATCTCATCTTTTTGAAATGAAGGTGATCACGGATGGCAGCTGGGTTTTTATTTGCTTTAGCCAAATAGAAAGTTGCAATAGTCTGTGAGCCCCCAATTTGGTCGTCTACCGCTTTGTGAAATCCCAAAGTCTCCAAAACCACATTACTTACCCTGAACATGCCTAATGGCAAGTGGCAGTCCTATTTGCCAGTCTGTGGAGCGCCTCTAACAAGGGACAAAAGCCCATGTGCCACCATGATGAGCGCAGCCACCCTCTGACCGCCAACCCGTTCTCTTGTCAACTGCTGGGGGCATCTTTGTGGTGACTTTGGGCAGACCCTGTCACTCCGTCCCTTAAAAGCCCTGGTGGCTTCCCTCTGTACTTAGAATTAAATACTAACCCTGCAGCTTGGCCCTCAAGATCACTCAAGGAGCCTGCCCTACCTCTTCTCACTCATCACTTCTCCCTCTCCCTCAACCACAAGACGCAGTCACACTGGCTTTCCGTCCGATTCTTAGAACGCACCAGGCTCTTTTTCTCTCCACATTCTTGTCTCTTGCCTGACCCTCTCTGAAGGCTTTTTTTGTACCTCTTGCTCATGCAAGGTTTTCACATCACGTCCTCCAGAAGACTTCTCTTCCAGTTTGGTGTCTCATTACTTTTGTCCTGGCTATGACCACCGTTTATTATTTTATTCATTGTTTTATATATTTGTTTACTTGTTTATTGTCCCTTTCCCCCCCATACACAAAAAAACGTTAAGCTCCATGAGGACCCAGACTTGGTGAGCACAGCACTGGGCGCAAAGAAGATACTCAATAAACTGGATAAGTAAACAACATATTTAATTTATCAACTCCTTCACACATTCCATTTGCTGCCCTCTCTCATTTCCTCTGCTCACCCCAGCCCAAACCAAGACCCACCAGGAACCTCTCCAATCCTCTTTCCTTTTTTCTCCCTCTGTCTTTTGTTCTAAATCATGCCCCAGATCAATCTAATGATGGTGTCAATTATGAGAGTGCCTCGTATTATCACCTCTTTCTAAGGTACAAAGAACAGGAAAGCCAGATTTCTAAGAGAAGTTGGAATTAAAGGGCCAGCCTTACCTGTGTCTAAAAGCCTTTTTAGAAACATCCTTGCTCCTTCATAGCTTAAAATAATCTCTTTTCTTCACTAAGTCTGTATTTCCTTGACCAGTAAACTTAATTTTATGAATTTTATCTTACTAAATGATACACTTTTCTATCCATTTCGTTACTAGTTTATCACTGCAGATATGCTGTTTTCATTAGGAGTTAAATTGGCTTTTATGAGCTAGTCTGAGACCCTCATTCCCACCTGCAGCGGTGTCTCTTTGTGTCAGGGTGCAAGGAGGCAAAAACGGAACTTACTGATAAACTTCAAAATCACTTTGCAGTCACAGTGGTGAGTTTCTGAAGGGCTAGGTCACAAAAAATATGACCTCCCCTGGAGTGTGGAGTGGAATAGAAATGCTTTCCTCTTGCCACACGCTTGCCAAAAACGATTTTCGTCCTGACTCCAGGCAAGAATTCAGGTTCACCATCTCAAAGCACTGACTATAGACAGGCAGTCTACAACAGTGAGTAAGAACACAGACTCCAGAAGCAAGAAGACTCCAGTTGGAATCCAAGCTCTACCAGTTTTTAGTGGGTTCTAGTGGGACCTGAGCCTATCTCAGAGCCTTACTAACCCTCACTTCTCCTTCCCCTGTAAGATGAGGGCCATGATATTACTTGCTAGTACTGTTGGGCAAATTAATGGACACTGCTTCCCAAGTACGCAGCACTGCCATCTTCATCACCAGAGTGGTCAAATGTGAAGGAAGGGCCCCCAGTAAAACAGTTGATTGACAGTTCATGAGCAATAGCTGTGTGCCAGGCCCCCCTCTAAGCACTGGGGGCCCACCAGTGATGAGACACGATCCTGCCATCACAGAATGCACTGCACTTGGAATGTTTTGTTAGCAGGTCATTAAAATCGGTTCTAATGAGTGCTGATTAAAATTGCATAACATTTTATTTTAAAAATTTAAAGAGTGTTTTCTCCAGACATTCTCAACACTATATTAATTCAGTGGATGATTAAAACGAAGTAGTCACTGTTTCTCTCTCCCATGTAGGTCCTCCTTTTTGAATGCAGGAAGGCCCCAGTGGGATGAGTTTAAGATGGTTATTTATTTTTGGGATTATAAATTTAAGGACGGATCAAGCGATTAGACCCCTGTTTAGAAAGCCCCTAAGGAAAGCCCCTTCTGCTGCTCTGTTAATTCTTTTGGCAAAATGATAACATAAGGAGATGGAGAGCCCTCACGAATTTTAAGGCTGTGCCACAACCCTTTCAAGTGTTATTTTGCCAGATTCTTGGAAAGCCCCACTTGTATCATTCATCAGAAGTACATGTGGGTCAGTTGACAAGTGCGTGTGTGCGCGTGCGCACGCAGAGACACACGCATGCGGGCGTGTGTACCTGAGGTGACATTTCCCCTTGGCTGGAAGTTTATTCCCTTCCTATGATCCCAGTTTCTGAGGAGAACCACATGACAAGAGGTCTGTCTCCTGTGGTCCTTCAGCTCACTTGGCTGGAGCAGGAAGAGACTGAAAGCCCAGCCAGCGGGGGAACCATTCACTTGTGGCCTGCAGCCAGTGGGCCATGAGCCCAGCCCAGCCTGGGTCCCTGAAAATGCCAAAGAAGAATCTGCTTCCAAGGGCAGCCCCACAGCCAGGAGAAGGGCATGTCTTGTAAGCTCTGCTGCCGGCTCAGTAGTCTCACCTTTTCCCAAACCCTGATTCCCTCGGAAGGCGTCGGCCACCTCCGCCATCTCTTTCCATGCTCCTCTTCTTCAGGGACACGTGACCCCTTGTTCTGTCACAGTGTCCCCTGCCTACAGGGCCGACTCCTTCTGTCACTAAGCCGCTGGTGGGAGTGACTTATAAACACAAACTGCCCTTGAGCCCCGAGGCTGTTCTCCATCACCGACGCGGCATCTTCGCTGGCAGTTGGGGGTGGGGTGAGGGAGGAGCGTGGGCTTTGTGGTCAGGTTCAACACGGACCCTTCCCCTTCCTGTTGACATGGCCTTGGGTGAACAATAATCTCCCTGAGCCTTCATTTCTTCATCTGTAAAAATAGAGTGGATAACACCCATCTCTCAAAGTTGTTCGGAAGATGAAACGGAGTAATAAATGTGGAGCCCTTGGCGGCTAAGAATACGTACTCTAGGCAAATTGATTAGTCACTCCATGATCAGTTTTATAGTTCTGTGACCATATGTGGTTGTGTTAGTATTATGGTACTGGTGTCTAACTCAGGTCAGGTAATACTATACATGACTAATATAAGGCCTAATACCTAACTCGGGATTGTTACAAGGATTAAATTATAATATAGAGAAACATTCAGTCCAGTGGACGGGGTAAGTCCTGTCATCGTGATTGCTGTTACAAGGGTGCTTACCACCTCGGTGCTCAGTCCCAGTCAGTAGGCACCAGGGATTCAGAGAAGGGAGAGGAGGGTGGGGGAGCAGACGACACAGCAGCTCAGTTTTCTAGTTATGCACTGAGGGGCAGACGTCCAGGTTCCATTTGATGGTTTCAGGTCTGTTGTTTTCCTTGCACCGGGGAGGCCGCACGCCTGTTATGGGTTCATCAGCAGAAACTACTTGTAAGCAGTCTTGATTCCAAGGCTTGTCTGCCAAAAAGAAAGCAAGAGCCCTGTGTGCCTCTTGCAGAAATGTGCCTTTAGTTAGTGCTGATGGAAGACCGAGGGAAGTCGGTTTTGTTTTTGTGGAAATTGGCTCAAAACTCTTCTGCCATAAGATAATCCCCTGCTCAGGAGACCGTATCTGCTGTCGCCAGCAATGAGGACGCTGCTATAATTAGGGGTGAGTAACCCAGGCGGACAACACGGGCTGTTCCCTTCACAAAAATAAATGTGATCATGATTTATAGACACAACAGGGCCTGGCTTGTAAGGCATTTTGTCAGAAGTCACCTGTTCTGCTTTCAGTCTTCCAGCGATTGTATGTTATACAGCTGGATGCCTTTTGGTGGTTGGTGGCTTTAAAGATTTGGCCCAGCCAGCCATAAGGTCTGAGATTGTCTAGAATTTGTTACTGACAGGTTGGCTTTTTAAGATCTGCTTTCGGCATTCTCTGGGCCCGGCTGACTTGATTCTCCAGCTCAGTAGTTCTGAAACGTTAATGTGCATGAGAATTGATGGGGGAGCTCATTAAAAACACAGTTTCCTTCCAGGTGATGACTGGGCAATGTTAGCAGCTCTTCCTGAATGT